AGGAATATCGGATAACACCCATATAAACCGGCCTTTTGTCCTTAGAAAGGGCTGCTTTCTCGAGATGCCTAAGGTGTTTGTTACTTGAGGGGCAGTGTCGATCCTACTTAATCTAAAACAGACCGTCTTCGCTGGCGATGATGCTAGGGATTCCAGTCTGAAGAAAGGGGGTGTATCAACATTGTAATGTATCATATTGAACTAGATATTCGTATATCATATTGAATTTAGACGTTGCTCTAATACAATATACCATACAATAACATGTATGTATAATAAGCATATATATATATATATGTGTGTATATAATACCAGGTTGTGTTATGTGACTTTCTGTCATTTCATAATTTCTTATATGGTATATCATGTGACATGCTGTTTTATTTTCCCATGTGTCTACCTAGTCGTCTCTTTTGGGTAACTCTAAACCCTAAACCCTAAACCATTCGTCTCTTTTGGGTAACTCTAAACCCTAAACCCTAAACCATTCGTCTCTTTTGGGTAACTCTAAACCCTAAACCCCCTAAACCCTAAACCCTAAACCCTCAACCCTAAACCCTAAACCCTCAACCCTGTAACTCCTGCTGACCAGGAGCCTCGGCCACATCATGGGCTCGGAGGACTCAGACACCGCCGCGACGCACCAAGACAGGTTCGATGTTGGTGTCTGTGGTTTAGGGTTTAGGGTTAACGTTCGATGTTGGGGTCTGTGGTTTAGGGTTTAGGGTTAACGTTCGATGTTGGGGTCTGTGGTTTAGGGTTTAGGGTTAATGTTCGATGTTGGGGTCTGTGGTTTAGGGTTTAGGGTTAAGTTAATAAGTGTTCTCATTGAAGTTGGGGTTTGGATTTGATGTTGGGGATTTGGGGTTTGACCGGCCCTCTTGGGTTTGTGCTTTGAGGGCTTGTTGGTCTGGGAGTTTGTTCATTTACGGGGTTTCGGGGCCAGGGTTTAGGTCAGGGTATTGTGGATGTTTCGAGGTTTAGTGCCACGGTAGCACGGCTTTAGGGCTGTGCGATGCAGACGGGCTTTGTGGATATCAGCTGCAAAGGTCGATGCACTTGGGGCTGGGAACCCTTCAGCAATCAACCCAAAGCTCTCCTCCCTAAATCATCTCGTAAATGGGAGTTTCCGAAAGTAGGGGTGCCTTAGTTTGGGGGTCCTTATAATAAGGGTCCTACTATTTAGGGTACTATATTAGGGTCCCCTATTTTCGGAAACTCCCAAATCTCAACTCACAAACCCATGCCTGAGCGCTCAAGCCCTACGGAATATAACTATGGCATGAGGTAGAGGTCTGAAAATAATCACTATAGTTCCGAAACTTGTATACTAGAAAGCACCCAGCGCCCCAGCGCCGATTCCACTTTGTCTGGCCCCGAAACCCTGAACCTTAAATCCCAAACCCCTATATGTGGCGCTGCAAATGTGGATTCCGGCACAGGATCTACCTCTTGCATCCAAGCGGCACCTTCCGCAGCTTGTGGAACATGGTGGTGGCCTTGTTCGTCTTGCCACATGGCTCCCCTAAACACTCCAACCACAAATTCGGATATAAACCAGTTTCGTACGTTTAACCATCTAGGCACGCCGTCTTTGATGGCATGCTGCAGTCGGTGTGTCAGCCAATGAAGAAGTACGGTAAGGCGCCCACACAGACCCTGTATCATTATCCCAGAGCATTTCAGTGGTCACAAACCTGAAAACGCTGAGCCGCTGGCCTGTAAGTGCTCAACCTTAAACCCGAATCCCTCAACTTCCTAAGCCGACAACCCTTAGATGCTGAAGCCCGAACCCCGGTAGAGTGTGGCCGCCGAAACGCCGGTAGCAATTATGAAGACTTGACTTAGGTTTCAGGGTTTAGTGTTCGGGGTGGATGCGCCGTTTACTTTAGGAATATAGGGGCGCGCCCACTCATCTCGTAGTCCCGCCCCAACCACCCCAACTATTCTCAATTAGGGTTTAGGGTTCACCCCCCAACCCCCCCTCGAGGGGTTTCTTGCTCTCTGCTTCCTTTCGCAGTTCTACATAACTTGACCCACATTTTACAGCAAACCAGCTGACATGGATTGGTGTCGGATTGTTGGTAACTCGCGGCCTGTGCCGGCCGCTCGACGAGAAGCAAGGCTCGCGGCAAACAACCTGCCCCCTAGTGCCCTGTCGGCGTTGCTCGAAATGAAACGGGCCGGCCTTGCAAATGGAGGTTACGTCGGGTTTGAGCAGGGGCAAAGGGGATAACCCGGCATCAGCACCCGGACACCCAACTAACCACCACCATCGAGCAAATGCTGTGAGTGTAAAGCCCTAAACCCTCGACCACTTATGTCCCGCAGTTAAGGTACGATCTGCTCGTCATACCTCTCGCTGCCTTCGACATGCCGCCATCCGCTGTTTTGCAGGCGCTGGACTTGACGATCCAAGGCCCACGCCAGTTCTGCTCCAGAATTAGGGCCTTAAGAAGGGCTATTCACAATATCAGCGTTTAGTGAAGTGGTTCTATAATTAACCCTGAGGGTCCATGTACCTTAAAGTAGTCCCTATATAAGTACTTTGGGGCCAATGTATATACTATTTGGGTACATGGAGCCTCAGGGTAAGGGGTCCTTGAGATTGAAAAGTGCCACCGCCATCTCACCAAGCTGGAGCTGATGTCCTTGCAATCCAACAAAAGTGGACCTGCGCAAGGGTTTAGGGTTTAGGGTTTAGGGTTTAGGACATGTCACCCGGAAATCATTGAACAACAAAACACCTGTGAGTGCGCGCAGCAAAATGCCTGGCTGCGTGCCCACCTTGTTTCTTCAATACGTGGCCGCAAATCCAAATCATTGCTACATTATACACCAGCTTGATCCCCGACGTGTTACAAGAGAACCCCAAGAATGCTGTCAAACCCAAGACATAGCATGTGGCTTCGGGGTCTAGAGCCACAGCCTAGCGTTATCGATTGTAAGCAAGTCTGACAAGCTTCGCTTAGCCAACAACGACAAGACACAACCGGAAGAGTTGTAGGGTTTCGGGGTCTCAGGGTTTAATTGGCCTCCGGGTAAGGCTCGGTTTAGGGCATAGGGTCACAAAACACACGGTGGAAGGTTTCTGGAACATCGACTTCGTTTTGACCTTCGTGACTGGCTATTATGATGGCGGCCAGTACCACTTCTGCAGATGGATTATAATGCTGTAGGTTTCGAGGATTTTAGTTTTGGCGTTTGTGGTACATGGGTGAGGATTGAGGCTCAACCTGCGCCCAAGAGCTCTTCCTGTTTGTCAGCCTGGACAGGGCAGTGAGGAGGGAAAAGCTTTCCGAGTGTCGCCGTTGTCAATTGTGGAGAGCCACAGGAAAAAGAGAACGAGGAAAGCCAATGCACAGGTCGAGACACGTGCCAAAGTCGTAGTGCGGAAAGCCATGGAGAGAGAACACGCTACTTGTAACTCTGCTGTGTGGGCTCCTGCGTTCCTACTTGACTTCCTGTTCGAAACTCACACGCTCCCTCTGAGGGCACCGTAGACCAATGATCAATGTCCCAAGGCAAGTCCGGTTCTTTTGGGGCATAACTGCTGAGCCGGTGCTCCAATAAAGGCGTCTATGTTGAGACTCCAGAATCTAGAGCTTTTGAGGGGTCGTTAGACTTTTGGGCTGTTAAGATATGGGGTCTGAAAACCCTACACCCTGAACCTGCGTTCGGACGACCGTGTGTTCAGTGTAAGTAGTTGTTTGAGTTGAAAACCCATGTGCCATTGAAGGCGTGTGAATGTCACTATAGCAGGGAGATCATGGTAATGCTTGTGGACCCAGTCGTTGATCATGACAGCGTAGATCCTTGAACAGTTTTGAACTCCACGACGGACCATGACTACCACGACTGCGACCAAGATTGCCTACCATCACGACCCTTATCATCACACATGACCGAATGTACTGATGGGACATGGGATCGCGGCCAAAAGGCTGCGCCGCATGCATTGGCGGGATTTTCAGACATGACCGGCCGAAAGACACGAACATGCTTCCCCCACACGCATTGAGACGTTTCACAGGCCCAGATGAGGCCAATGTACTCGAATTTGTAATCAATCGCGCTCTCCCGGGTACTTTGTAAATAATGGTAATTACCGACCGCGAACTATTATATGCACCGTGCCACGCCAGGAGCGCGCAATGTTCCGTGTGCACCTCCCACTCTCGCGCGCCTCGCGACAGACTGACCAACTTTATTGGCAGAAACGTAAGAACGCGATCGTGTGTACCCAACTGTGTGGGGCACGTGTGTCCCTATTCAATGTAAGTCTGTCCGTGACGCTCTGAGCAACCGAGGCTGATCATGACCTTGTGTGATGTGGCGCGCCACTATGCAAGGACTTAGGGTGTATAGGGTCAAAAAGTCGCTTCGATGTTTGTTTCATGGTCACCAACCCAAAGCCTACTACGGACGTTGTTAGTTATTAAACTCCGGTCCCTCTTGGGGTCCTGGTTTAAGGGTGCCGTACTAGTTTGGGGACCCGAAAGGGACCCTCATTTAGAGAACTGCCCTTATAGAAACCCTAAAGGATCCTTGTAAGGAGCCCTAACAGTGACCCGAATTTAGAGAACTGCCCTTATAGTACCCTTATAGAAACCCTAAAAGATCCCTGTAAGGAACCCTAAACGGGACCCTAACTTAGAGAACTACCCTTATAGTCCTCTTGTAGAAACCCTAAAAGATCCCTGTAAGGAACCCTAAAAGGAACCCTAACCCTAAACCCTAAACCCTAATTAACTGGAGCCCTGGGAATGGCGCCACTGTGCCAGGACGTGGATGATCTTCGATCTGGGCACCACGACCTGAATTTCCAGGGCTTATAGGGAAGAAGATAGGGGCCTTACGAATTAGAACAGGATCTTGGGGGATATATTGTTCTATAAGCAAAAGAACGATAATATCGAACCCAAGATAGCATTTGGTAATTATTCAGGGCCCTATAATACCTCAAGAATCGAGGACACAAAGCCTTTGCTTCAACCAGGCCTCATCTCAATGGACTGGATCTTCTTCTTCGCGGCTGGGGCTGCAAGTGCCAGCATTCATACACACATACACACATGCGCACATACATACATACATACATACATACATACATACATACATACATGTGTATATATACATATATATATATAGATAGATACACGTATCGATTGATTGCTTGTGCATGTATGTATGTGTATACATCTATAAATGTATATTTCCTAGACAGATGCGCAGGGAGTGGATAGATTTTGGCGGGGCCGGATGCATTGTTTTCCGGTTCTTGGATAACTCGAGAATATCCAATGAAGCCACCTCGCCCCGGCCTTGCCTAATTGGTTGAGGTCTTGAAACCCTGTAGGCCCTAGAAAGCCCTGAGCCCCAAGCCCCAGAACTTAAAGGGATAATTATAAACCTTGTTAAGCCAAAACTGCGAACCTCTCAACCCTGAAGCCCAAAGTACAGCAAGCTTCGATGCAAAGACCGGAATCTGGCGAAACCCAGGTGGACTACGTCATTTACAACGACGACGCAAGCGCAACTGAGTGGTGGCTGGATCTGATCTGTAACTTGAGTAGCCTGAACGATGCCCGATGGTCTTCCTTGTTCGGGTTCCTGTTAAATACTGGTATACGAATTGAACATACCCCGCCCTTCCGCCCGATTCCAATCATCAACGCCTATAGTCTTGCTGACCAGCTCTGTGGATCTAGCACATTTCTTGGTTGGCAGAAGAGGCCGTCCCTTGGGCCCGAAAAACCCTAGATGGTTAGTCGCTCCGGAGCAGAGTTCCTTCCAATTCTAATATAGCGGCCTGGGTACTTTCCAATACCTTGTCGCGGGGTTCCTTATATGATGAAGCTACCAGAATATACCCTCCAAGGCTATTCTATTTATTCATGCCCCGATATTACTTTCGCTCAGCAACTAGATGTTTTGAGCTGCATGTGGGCGGTACCAACATTTTATAACATGGTGGTTACTGCTGTGGCTGCGTAGGTCTCAACACCACCCGGGCAAGTCCGGACGAAGTAAACCCACAACCAAAACCAGAGCTTGCGCATGCTTACCCAGGGTGCCCCTAGGCTGTTTATCGGGGCTACAATCTTCAAGACCTCTACATGCAACCCCTATTCTGAAGCCCAATGAATAGAAATTGTTTGCTGTTCCCCGGGCAGCGGTCGTGTCAGGAGTTCGTCAATCGTCGTGCAAATCACGAAAGGTGCGAGGAATGCAATCCCGTACACCGTCACTACCTCGACCACTTCGAGCGACGAGCACGACTGATGACGATGACAACAGCAACAATGCTGTTGGACACGGGGTGCTGAATGGAAATGTCTTACAACCCCTCTCATGCTTGAAATTCTGTCAAAACATCAACCCTCAACCCATAACTTTCTGCAAATCCCAAGCCCCATAGCTGAGGTCCAGAACTCTCCGCATGCTCCGACTGATGCGGCTCGTGCGGATCGGACGAGCGATCAAGCTGCGTCGAGGTTTCGCCGCTGTTCAGGAGTTGCTCCACTCGCAGGCACGCAGTGCGTCAGACGGCTGTTCTACACCCTTTCTCTGGTTTGTCACTGAAAGACAAAGTAAGCCTGAGAATGACGGTGTCAGCATCTTTGTCGTGCCTTAGGTCCTGAAAACTCCCCAAATGGCTACAGCATGATATGGCATCAGTTATTCGGTAAGGTCATAATGTACAACTTGCCCTTCAAATTTCATTGTAGGAACCGCTTCAGTATATCCTCAGAATATGCTGATTTGGCATCTGGACCTTTCGGGTTGTTGAATGATATGTTAGTTTACAGGCTTCCCCGCCTTGTGCCCACCGAACGCCCCGAATGTTTCGGCCAGACGATGTCCCAGGTTCAGCCGAGGGTTCCGCAGTGTAACGGTTCAGCACGGCTAGTATAGAAGCCACAGGGTCCTATGTACTATTATGGGGGCTACTTCCAGAGATCATACTAGTAATTCCCATCATAGCAACCCCACATGCTACTATATAGGTACTTCGGGAGAACACTGCAATTTCTCGTTATTCCACAGAATGAATTAAGCCCCTTAAGTGGAACCGATATGGTATCCCTTATTCAACCCTTTCCGGGCGCCATGTTCAAGCACGCCGTTCTAATTATATGAGTCAGAAAGGTCGGCTTCATGGTCTTCTTGTGTTACCCGCCCTAAACCCTAAACCCTAAACCCTAAACCCCTAAACCCTAAACCTTAAACCGCTCTTGTTCGGGCTTTGTGAGTAGAGCATGGCCTTGGCAGTTTAGGGCTTAGGGTGGCGAGCCCCTCAAAGCTAGACCCGATCCTGCGCAGAAATCCAGAGGATCGGGGCTCTGAGGGCTTCCTGTGGGTTGGGTTTAGGGTTTAGGGTTTAGGGTTTAGGGGGAGTTTAATTATCGGCGTTTCCTCTACAGGCTTACCGGAATCATGACATGAGTTTTATTTGGAGCACTTCGAAGTTGTATTTCCTAAACGTATCCGCGGTTGCAGCATTCGTTGCAAACGGGTGTGGCTTATAACTATGCGAAGCTACAGCAGCAGAGGTTTCAAGCAGAACACGCTCCAAGTCTGCGACAGTAATCCCTGCACCCCTGAGAGCCTTCCTCATAGCGTTACTAACATCAGTATTGTTGTTACTACTGTTGCTAATTGTGAATAATGTTTTCCTATGGTACGTCCGGCTAAGAGATCCTTACTACGATCCTTTGACCCCCCTCTTCGAACTCTGAGCCGAATCCCGGGATCCTGTAGCCAATGCACTCCGAGTACTGTAGAGGCCTTAAGCATTTGAAAAAGGGTTTTGGGGAATATCATACTCTTATCAAACCCATATGATAATGATAATAAGGAGCCCTAAGGAATATTCTTGGTACTTATTTCGGCTCCTGCGTTATGATTTCCTGCAAGGCAGCCAGCCTGTACCTGAGCTTCTTCGTGAGCCTTGGGCAACTGCTCGTGCTGAGTTTTGGCTGCAAGGAAGGGTCGAGGGGAACCCACTTGCGTTGCACAGCAAACTGAGGTGTTCAGAAGTAACATAGAAGCCTAGATAGTTACCAATATTTTTTTTTTGGGGGGGGTTCCTTATTGTAACTGTACTATAACGAGCCCCCAAAACCCTGTTCTAATTATTAAGGCCCCTACAGTAGTGTTTTGCAAATCTCTCCACAATGCAATCGCGAGCTGGATGTGATGCAGCGGGCACAGTCTTCAATGCTGATGGACTTTGGCTGTACATATAGACTCTGATATTCTTGTCTCGTGAGATTCTTATAAGGCCCATTACAAGTCTTACTGTAACTCTCATGTTTAGATTGTACGTCTTCCTAAGGGACGGGGGTGTAGGAACATGCTAGCACTCTGGGAGGGCTGGGCGCCACGTTGGTGGACAGTCCACGTGGCTCTTGCTGACAGCTAGATGATGGGAGGTTTAGGGTTTAGGGGACAATCGATAATCCACCCTGGCCTACTCTTTGGTGGGGCCTAATTGCCAGAGTACGGGGGCACGAGGTCGTCGTAGGTCCATTCATAAGCCCGTTTGCTGTTGTGGGATCTTGGTCTCTGTGGGCTTGGGCCTCTGTTCTGACCGTCAGATTTCGAACAGAAGGCAACCTGCGACTTCGATTTCCCAGAACCCTCAACCCTGAAACAGTTTATGTAACTGCTTCGGGTTGAGACCGTTTGTACAAGATATTTCTAGAAGGAGCACAACTTCTTTAAAGGTTCCCAACAAGAGCAACAGCCCAAAACCCTAAGCCCCCTAAGCCCTAACCCCCTATAAACCCTAAATTGTAAGCATAGACCAAGCAGAACCCTTTACCGTCCAAAGCGAGAGACCTCGGATGTCGGACCGGGCCGGTCTGTGAGGTCATGGGAGTTTAGGGTTGGGAATTGAGTCGGAGTGTTTTGGGGTCAAGGCTTAAGGATTTAAATCTGGGTTGAGGCTTTAGGACTTTAGGATTCAGGGTTTATGGTTTGGGGTTGTGATGTTGGGCACAGTACGTCGAGGCTTGAATGAGGCTTGGGCCTTTACCTCAGATGGCCATACAAGCAGCGACTCTGAAACTGCCAAGCGGCCAGTTGAAGTTTGCATGATTGGTTCGTGGATGCAGTGTTCTGCTTGCGACGCATACATAATTGTCCATGTAGTGGCCGCCGCCCTGCTACTATGCTCTGCATGGCATCACTACCTGCAGTCTCCATTGTATAGGATCCTAAATATATACCTGGTCTCACCAAAAAGGACATACAATGGAGACTATAAGTAGGGTGCAAGTTTTGGGTGTCTGGTTTTGGTTTTAGCCAGGCAAAGCCTTTGGCGGCCGAAGAATGTGATGCATGTAACTGTAACACCTATTTGTTTGTACCCTGCCTTGTCCATAAGCCCGAAACGTACCCTATACCCCCAGCACCTCGTTGTACTCAATTGTTGAGGCCTCAATAATTCCTTACGGACTGAAAAATGCAACTATATATGTGCATTCCGGTCCACGCCGATCCGAGCCTTGCCTCAAGGAATCATTGGATGGCCTGCGCGTGGTTCGGCGTAAGTTGGCTCAATGCAGACGGCGAGAACTGGGTGGCGGCTAGTGGGTTGAAGCACCGCGACGCAACTCGGCACCAGAAGCGAATGTTCCACCTGGTGTGTTGTGCTGCATGGGACAATCAGCCAGCACATCAAAACAGTCGCAAAACATGGTTGTGCTACCACCTATCCATGAAGCCCGTGTATCCCCAAAACCCTGCCTTTGATACAAAATATACAGGGCTCGGAATACTCAGCAATAAAGTAATAGTATTCCTTACGGGTTTCCTATTATAACTATAGTACAACAACCAATGTGCAACATACCGTCGTGAAGGCCTCATACTACCTGTGAAGACCCAATAGCAACCTATAAGAAAGCATAGGCAGAGACACCCTACTCGAATTATCAAAGCCCCCGTTATATTGATGTTCCACCGAGGTACTCTACCAGTACCTTTCGTGCATCCTTTGGCCGGAGCCCCGGGCAACAAGGAAACCTGTTGGGGGTTTAGGCTGCTTTGCTTCTGGCACGGTCAGGATTTTCTGCTTAGGGTTTAGGGGCCCTAAACCCTAAACCCTAAACCCCTAAACCCTAAACCCTAAACCCCTAAACCCTAAACCCTAAACCCTAGATCGGGACGTGCATGTTTTGATTTGGTGCGCTGATGAGGATCACAACACGGGGGCCTGATTTGCCAGCCAGCAGGGTTCTCTAAAAGACCCTAAACTTAGCCCTAAACCCTGACAACCTGCAAGGAGATCGAAATTGAAAGGGCACCCATTGTAGGGTTCAGGATTCTGGGACAATTCGGAGCAATTCTGGTATCAAGGGCTCCATGCTAGAGTTTGACGAAACGCCAAGCCCCAAACCCCCAACTGGGGTCTCTACGCCAAGGATTTGCCCTATGTTGTGCACCGTCTGATTTTGAAACGCATGCGCGACCCCAAATGGCAGGTGTTTTGGAGACCCGGATTAACGAAAGCTGTGACTGATCTGACCTGGTATTGAGTTTAAAACCAGGGAGTTTCAGAAAATTAGGGTACCTTATTTTGGGGTCCTTATAATAGGGATCCTATTAATTAGGGTACTATATTAGGGTCCCCTATTTTCGGAATCCCCCAGCAAGTTCAAAGGGGAGATGAAGATAGAGTCTGCCTTCAGGAAGGCTTTGCCTTGCACTCTCGGTGTGATCACTGCTTCCCAAAACCCTAACCGCCTATCCTTATAAACCCCACACACCTCAACCCGGCGTGCCTGAACCCTCAACGCGAAGCTTGTGCCTTGTAGGTTCTCTGCACGACACTAGTCCTGGATCATAGTTATACCCCAAATTTAAACGAATCCTACTCGAACTATCAATGCCCCCCTATCATCGAATTCATATAGTAGCCTTCATAGTAACCCTTCAGGGTTCTAAATAGTAAGACCCCATCATAAGGGCCCCCGACATAGGTCCTTCGCCCAACTTGGTGTGGGTGAGTTCCAGCTGCCTCCGACCAACAGCATCGAGATGCTGCTGTGCGCGCCTTTTGCCTGAAGCTCTAACCCCAATATAGGGGCCTTAAAAATTACCTATATAATTTGGGGGGTTCTTTGCTACAGTTATAGTATCATACACCCCCAAAGACCCTCTTCTTAATTATTATGGCCCCTACATGATTCCTAAGGGTCCACGTGCCCAGTACTAATATACTCTCCCATTTTTTGTCATCTATGTAGCTACCACGATTTTGGGTTTAGGGCTAGGTGTTCCTCTGATGAGTCTATTGTAATTCCTTTTTCTGCTGAACAAGCTTTCTATTTAGGATCCTGTAAGGAATCCCTCCCCCCAAAAAAACAAGGAACGACAATGGTGAAACCAAAAGGCCAGAGTAACAGCATAGTATCTACTTTGGGGGCCAAAAACTCCACTAAGAGCCGACTATGTTGGTACTTGGGCCCTTTAGGGAAGCTCGAAGTCGAAGCTCTAACTTCAGAAGCCGAAAGCTCCACCTACACATAGGCTCTTTGGTGGAAGGTGTGGAGATACCCGCTTTAAGAGGCAGTGTTGGGAGATCCTCGGTTGATCCTTTCTGGTTACATCGTGCATTTGAGGGTGTCTTTATCTGTGCGGTGCAAAGCCCATAAGATCACATACACACAATAATCTTGATGCCCAGGGTTTCCGGATTTCCCAGGATTTCTAAAACCCGGGAGCCAAAAAGACCCGGAATGCACGGTCGTTACTGTTTCTGCAGTCTCTGTTTGATTGTGTGTTGTCTGGTGGCTTTTCAGTCATTTGGGTTATGCAGGGTGAAGTCGCTGATGCACTCCCGCACTGAGGGCACATGGGAGTTTCAGGAAATGGAAGATCGCAAAATGGATCTCTGAATGCTAGGATCCTCATTGTCAGGGGTAAATGTCCGAACCCCCCCCCCCCCCCCCCNNCCCTGATCTCTCAACCCTAAACCCTAAACCCTAAACCCTAAACCCATTTCCAGTATCCCTATCCCTACATCTGTGCAAGCGGGAACCCCCAGCCTTTCTTTAAGCGGGAACCCCTTTAGGGTTTAGGGTTTAGGGTTTAGGGTTTAGGGTTTAGGGTTTAGGGTTTAGGGTTTAAGGTTTAGGGTTTAGGGTTTAGGGTTTAGGGTTTAGGGTTTAGGGTTAACCTTTCTTTCCAAAGTGTGGCCCCGTGCAGGTTTATCGCCTTCCGATCCCTCATAACCGCAGCCACGCTGATCAGCACTATGGGGAACCTCATAGCTTCCAAGCAGCATCTTCGATTCCCAGACCTTCCAGAAACCTTTACTTACTTAACTACGGGATATGCCTTGAATTATATTGCAGGGTTTAGGGGTTTAGGGTTTAGGGTCTAGGGTTTGGGTCCCTACTTTGATTGAAGGTATATTCCTTAACTAAGATCGATTTTACAAGATATTCCGTTCGCGGTTCACTCGACCGTTGAACGTAGCAGGTTCTTACATCAACTGCTGACTGCTAACTGGGCCCTCAATATTTTGGCTCCGGGGTTTAGGGTTGGGGGTTCAAGCGTTTAGGGTCTAGGGCTGGGGACTTCGATTGCGCAGCTTGGTTTCGGCTTTAGGTTTGGAGGGCTTGGAGGAAGTGTCAGTTTAGGGCTATGGGTCAATTAAAAGGACTTCGTATTGTTTCCCAAGCTTGCGGATTTGTTTGGGAGAATCCACAACTCAGGGTTTAGGGTTTAATTAAGGTCTTTATAGTCATCTAGACTATAATTCCACAACTCACGGTTTAGGGTTCAGAGTAGGACAGTAGAATTCGACGATTGAGGCTCTCGATGAGGGTCCTTTATTTGACTTCCCTTGCTCGCATTTGTAAAGACAGTGCGCTTGACTTTAGACACCTTGGTACGGCTGGGGGAAATCCTCCAACATTGCAGGGGCCCGGTCTAAATCCTTATCCTAATCTTTGCGGAACCCACTGTACTGTAGTCACGGTGTGCTTACAGCGTTACCCTTGGCTCAAGTACGGATGATGATCCAGCTGCCCTTTCTGAACTTCCATGAAAAAGCGATCCTCCCCACGAGCTGAGGGGTTGTGGTGATACCGGACTGAGGATATAGTTCCACGATTATGAGAGGGGTCTTCGATATCAAGGGATCAGGAGAGAAGGTGACGAAAATCGGTGGCCCCCGTTGCTGGAATGTCTTGAATACAGATAAAGCCAAACCCTAGCTTTACGGGCCTACATATCGGTCCGCCCTATATCCTGAGCCTATAATGTCCTGCCCGAATGCTCCAACCACGGAAGGCTGGATTGCGTAAGATCCGGGAGGACGAAACGAGCGAGTTTCGTTTGCTCCGACGGCTACATGGGTGGCACAAGAGTTGGTCAGTAGAAGTTTGGAGGTTTTGGGTTGAGGGCTTGCAGCGTAAAGTTCAGAACCCGAAACCCCACAAGCCCTAAACTAAACCCTGCACGACACCCTTGACCCTGCACCAGTCCTGAACCCTAAACCCTGAACCCTATAATCAATGGAGTTGAGGGAGTCCGGTGCGGTTCAGGTTGCAGAGGGTGCGAGGAATGAGCTGATAAGCTTGGGTTTGGGTTGAAGGTTCGGGTTTCAGGCGTGGGGTTCATGGTTTAGGGTTCGGGTTTAGTGTGTAAGGGAGCTGGGTTCAGGGTACGTGGTTCCGGGTTATAGGGCTGACGTGGAATCCGTCCTCTCTGCGGCAGCTCTCAATCATGCCGCCGTAGACCCAACCCACCACTCCAAAACCGCACGTATCGTTTGGATGAAACCAGACTGCATACTGTTGCCCTGCAATGACGTCTTGGCCACTTCAAGCATTTTGAAGGCATCACCCCAACACAGTGAAAGGGTTTTCCCTTAAGTAGAGTACCATCAGCAGCCATAGCAGCAGATGCTTTCATCCTGAACCCTACCTATAGTCTTCATTATTCTAACGATCCGAAGTATAAAACTTGCTAAACTAAAAAAGGAACTACAATGAACCCTAAACCCTAAACCCTAAACCGTGGAGGCTATACGTTTTTTTACAGGCCAGGTTTTCTAGACGACTCTGTTCGCAGAGTCAACCTGAAGAAGCAGAGAACCCTGAACGAGGAAGGCAAAGCTTCCAGAAACACAGGGCATACAGAGGGTTTACCCAGGGGCTCCAATGTAGTTCCTTTTTGGGTCTGTTATGTTTTTTTGGTAGGGAATTATACTATACTATCCAAAAAGGAACTACATAGGTGCCCTTGGGTAGGCACTTCAGCCCGTGCTGAAAAGAGGTTGTTTACATAAGGTTTACCTATAGTCTCCGTTGTAGTTCCTGTTTTGGGTTACATCAGAATGGGATTGAAGAACATAGACTTGGTGAAACGGAAAACAAGGAACTATGCTGAAGACTATGGGTAGGCCTTGGGGCTCTTCGCGCGTTCGAGCCCTGCTGCGACGGTGGAAGTTTTTGCTTCGTTCACGACATCAGATGATGTTCCAGCTGTCTGCCTGGCTAAGAACTTAAGACAGAGTAGTATTCCGAAGATTGCAGACGTCACGCGCATAGGTAGTTTTACAGCTTAAAGTCGTACTACTAACCATGGGAGCATATCATCCGAGCACCCTTCAGAGATCAAGGGTTCCTTGCCAGGTCCTAACCTAGTTATATATGGGGGTTTCCGAAAATAGGGGACCCTAATATAGTACCCTAAATAATAGGATCCTTATTATAAGGACCCCAAAATAAGGTACCCAAATTTTCGGAAAGTCCCATATTGAAGGGCTTATAGGGTTTAGGGATTTAGGTCTACAGCTTCGGGGTCTCGCCTTAGAGTCCTTGCTTTTCTGAGAATCCCAGGTCGGCAGTCTTAGTCAGTTCCTAGGCCAGGCTGATCAAGCGGAGCTCTTTGGAAATGCCCGGTTTAAAGTTCAGAATTTATGGTTTATAGGGTTTAGGGTGATTCCGTGGCTCCTCTAAACCCTAAACCCTTAAACCATTTCAGCTTTAAAAAAAAGCCTTAGACCGTCTACTCCAGCCGGGGTGCTGAGGTTTCTCAAGCACAACAACATCCCGCATGAGGCCGGGATCCTGGCCGGGAATCAGCTCGCTGTTGTCATTCAAACGCATGTGTACACATGGGCAAACGCAGTTGTACACATGGGCCCCATAGTAGTTCCTTTTTGTGGCTTATATTTAATTAGGATCCTATTACGGAATCCGAAAAAGGAATTACTATGGGGCCTATGAATACACACATACACACAGTCCTGGCTTCTCGAGCCCCATTTCATCTAACCACCCAGGCCAGCTGTCAGAACGCGTGTGTTTCAACCCAACTGTTTGGTATGGTGCGGCCCCTACCCCAAAGCCCAACTCCACAATGCCCGCATGTCAGGAAAGCAGCCCCCCAACCGTCAATTCCCAACACTCAGCGAAATGACAACGCCAGGTTGGGCACAAGGTCACTCAGTTCTTGCAACACCAATATTCGGAGAAGCAGCAGTCGAGGCCGGTGATTACCTTGGACCGAATGACCCTGATAAGTAGGGGCCGTATACCCTAAAATTCTAAGGTATATGAGAACCGTTTTTGGGTTCTTGTCGTCCTTAAGGTAGCTTGTTGCAATGGCTATCGCGAGCATTGCCCATGGTCTTGCGATAGATAGTGCTAGCTCCTACAGCTTTAGTTCTGATGCAGCTGCTATTTATGTTTACGGTATTTGCTGCGATGGTAAACGGCTTTCTGCTCTTTTGGGCTGCCACACGAACATTGACATGGACTTGATCACTTGGATCCTGCTGCAAGCTGTTATGTCCCGAGTGAGCCGTAGTTTCGCTGCTGGAGTCCTAAACCCTAAACCTAAACCCCTAAACCCTAAACCCTAAACCCGCTATTGCATGGATCTTCGGCTTGTCTCTGTAGCCTGGGGCTTCGTCGAGAGCAGGAAGTTCGGCACTTTGCGTGTTGAGCTCCGCGACTCGATCGTCTCAGAAACTGCCACCTAGGAACCATAAGGGCTATGTGAGCCTAACACAACTCTCATCAAGCACTGAGCGAAGAAATTGGTGCCTGAAGCACAGCTTCTGTTGAGCCAAGTAGCCTGCCCATAAAGACCAAGAACAGCAAGAACCTTAAACCCAAACCTCTCGAAACAAAATATGAACCTCATCGTGGGGTCTTTTTGGACCCTTAGGGACCCACCTGTAAACCCCGCAGACACCCTGATAGAACAGCTAATTATTAGATCCTGTGGACCCTTAGGGAAATAGAAAAGTGCGATAGGTCCGCCGATGTGCGAGTGCCCTTGCTTGACCTCCTTTCGCCGCCTCTGTTCAACGAGCTCTGCTTCGAAAGGTGGGACTTAGTGGGCTTGCATTGGTTTAGGATTTTAGGGTTTACGGTTATTGCATGACAGTCTGAAAGCTTCCTGGAACAGTTCTACAGAGGGCTGTTAGAGCTTTGCGGGCTGCTTGTGATGAGGGCTTGGGTTTTTGGGATGTTTGTAAGCTACCTATAGTCTCCATTGTAGTTCCTTTTTTGGTTTAACCAATTATATATTAAGGATTCTATAAGGCATCCCCAAAAAGGAACTACAATGGAGACTATAGGTACGGTTTACGGTAGGTGGAAGCTTGTTGGTCGGGACTTGTGAAAAAAAGTCGCGCGGCCGATGCGAAGACAGCGCGCGGCTTGTTCTGTAGGGTTTTTGCAGGCTGACACAGTGTACAAGGATGGTTTAGAGAAGCAAGCACTGCAGCTCTCAAGCCCGAAGCCAACGAACCCGAAAGCCTCATAACTTTGGACTGCGCCCAACCCTCTGTTATGCAGACCGGCCTGGGTCTGCTCGCTTCGAAGCAAGAACAGGTACCGTGACTCGCTGTGCAAGCTGAAGTTAGTCGACGACCTGCTCGAAGATCCGGACATGCAGACTGTCCTTGCTTGGGCCTCGGAAGGTTATATATCTCTTGTTTTTTCGGTTAGGGTGCGACAGACAGTGGTTTCCTAAGGGTGTTGAAAGGGGCTTGGAATGGGTCCTAGAAAGCCTTGAGAAGGGTTGGGCCTCGAGCGTTTCAAGGTGGAAGGAGAATGTAGACGCGTGTTTAAATCCGATTCTCAACGCAAGGATCCTAGTGCCCGTGAAGCCAAGGGCCTTATTCATTCGGGGTCTACATCAGAGTTTATGGCCTAGAGGTTTTGGTCTGGTGATATCTGGGCTGAGTTTTTGCCTCCATATGGGCAGTTCTCTAGATTAGGGTCCCCGTTTAGTTCCCAAATACAGTACGGCACCCTTATAAAAAGGATACTAAAAAGGGAGAACTGCCCACATGGGAGTTTCCGAAAATAAGGGGTACCTTACTTTGGGGTCCTTATAATCAGGATCCTACTATTTAGGGTACTATGTTAGGGTCCCCTATTTTCGGAAACCCCCATATACAGACTCCTATACCTACCCAGCCGGCCTCGCTGGGGAACACAGACAGATCAGAAAGCTCTACCAGGTTGAGACGGTTTAGGGTTTTAGGGTTTTAGGGTTTAGGGTTTAGGGTTTTAGGGTTTAGGGTTTAGGGTTTTATGGTTTTGGGTTTAGGGTTTTAGGGTTTAGGGTTGTCAATGGTGCTGCAGCTTTGCCTGGCCTTTGTCTTCAGGGTACCCGGCAGTCGCAATAGGCCTGGATGCAAAAGGGTTTAGAGTTTCTGGCCTGATACCTCTGCAGCTCTACATCCTGTTACTGGTGCTGCCTCTTTTGCTGCTTCCCCTCTTGCAACATAATTGTGTTAACAATGATGTAGCTATGACTCTCTGTCGCTGTTGTGCTGTGCCAATTCTGAAGCTCATCAATGAAGCTGTATGCACTCACTCTTTCGTTAACCAGAGGCACTAGATCCGAAACCTTTATGGAGAACTCCCAAAGGCGCTGCACCAATTGGCGCGGAACAGCCTGACTCAGCTGGTGGCGGCCTCCGGGGATGTGATCTTCCTCAGCGGCAAGGTTGCGGCAGGGTCAAAGCCTGTAAGGCTTCGGTATTCAGACGGTTGATATGGGGTAATTATCTGCGTCAACTGCACACTACTGAGAGAGCTAAAAGTAATTAGGTTTCAGAGAAATTTTGACCAATTGTAGCAAAACAGCCCCAGCAATAACAACAAATTCCTGGACTGTGGCAGCTTCTTGAGCCCAGGCCTAGAACCCCCAGTTCAAGACTTCTGTAAAAGTGATGATATGTAGGAGCACCCGGAAGATAGGGGCGAAACTCTGCACAAACCCATACCCCAGGCCTGGCTTAACCCACAAACCACAAGGGACAAATTCGAAAAATTGAAGCCAGATCCAATGATAAAGGGTGTTGGCACATGCCCTGAGCGGCCGCGGAATAAATCGATCAACTCTATAAGCCCTAAACTCTAAACCCCAAACCCCTATTATAAACCCTGTAAAACCTAAGCCTAAACCCCTTAACCCTAAACCCTCTAAACCCTGCCGACCTCACTCTCCCGAATTTCCTCTTCAGGACCCTCACAGGGTTCAGGGCCTTAGGGCCTAGGGGCCTTTAACGTCGAATCCCGAAACCCTACCAAGAAAGAAGCCTAAACCACCTAAGCCCTAAAGTTGTTGGTGCTCCGGGCTCTCCACGACAGAAAATTCTGGGAGGATGGGGGCCGTTCTTAGAGGATTTGCTTCGAGCTACGATATACAGTTTACGGTTCTGTTAAGGGTTAAGGGTTCTATAAGCCTTATACTAGAAGCGTTCTATAATGTTTTTGGGTTGAAGAATCGTTGATTGAAGTTGGCACGGAATTGAACTTCCAGATAAGGAAACCTTATCATGTTCCATAGACCTCTTTTATAGTAGCTTCAACAACTCCTTAGCAAAAGCCTTCCCCCTAGGACCTAGCCCGAACACCTTCGACCCCATTCTAATAGGTTGCTGCTGTTTCATGTAGCTCGATACTCTAGAAAGATATATGCATGCAGGTGTTGAAGCCTTTTTCATATATACAACAGGATTTCGCTCAGGTCCAAACCCAGTGACAACCAGCAAGACATTGTGCGGAGAAACTGGGGGCCCACTGCGTGCATGTCAGTAACGCTCATAGAACCCCTTTAAGGAACCTTTACAGAACTGGCCCTGTGACCAACAACTATATCAGATTCTCAGACTCTACGGTCAGACTGCTGGTGATTAATAGGGCTTGGTTGTGATGTAAGTTAGTTTTGGGGGCATTATAGGTGGTACTTGGACCATTGAGGATAGGGTCCCTGAATCGTACAATTTTGACGAGTATCGGCAAGCCCTATGAGACCCAAACCCGAAGCTGTTGGAATCTTTCATCCCGAACCCCTTCGAACTCAGGCCGTGAGCGCCGAAAGCCTGAAGCCCATAATCTTTATCCCTGAACCTCCGACCTCACGACCTGGAACAATAAACCCCAAATCTTATGTGGGCCCTGACAAGGTGGCTTCTGCTGCATACCTGCCCTTCGACTGAAGTGAACTTGCAGAGCCCTCTTGGTCTTATTGGGGGGTCTGCAGAAGGAGGACCCTTTAGTTGACCCAAAGGCTCTAAGGACTCATATTTTAAGGCTTTTGGGCCTCAATCGGAAGACCATACTATATAAGTGTCTTGGGCTACATATTTGGAGCCTCAGGGTGAGGGTCTACATCAGGGTCTGGTATTCTCTGGACCAGTGTAGGCCCCGAGGGTTTTGCTTTGAGATGTTGGATGCGCCGTCACATGGCTCAGGGCTTCCGGCGCGGCTCTTGGAAAAGGGTTGGGTATGCATTCTGTGGATTTTAGGGTTGAGGGTTTAGGGTTCCTTCGACTACGTATTTGAACCGATAAGATGGACTGGCTGCTGCTCTTGCGACCATCCTGCAGTGAAGCTGTGAGGCACCAAGCCCGGCTGGAGATGGTTTTCCTTATTACGCCATGGCTTGCTTCGATGGGTTTCATAATTTCTCGGTTCGATGACGATGCAGCGGGTCGTTTTGACTACTTGGCCGTTGTTCACCTTGGCGGCGCCATCGTTTTAATCACCGTCGGTGTGATCTTGTACAAGATGAACTGCCTGCCGTCTGCAGCCCATTATTTGGAGGATCCCAGCTGCAGCAGTGCACTCTGCGGATTGTTCAGCTGGCTCCCGATGGTTGCGACCGGTCCCACACTGATGACTGGTGGTGCGCAGGACCTTGTCGTCACTTGTGTGGACTGGTTTGGTGCCATCATACTGTACGTGCCCTTGGTGGAGGAACCGCTCTTACTGACAGCCGTTTATGTTGCCTACGGGAGCCTTGCGTGGGCGAGAGTTGTCCATCTATGCCTCTCAGAGGTGGACAGTCGAATCAGTGTCACACCCTACTTTTGCCGGCTAATGACTGTCGTAGTTCTCACTGCCATCGCTTTGCAGATCAGAATACGATATTTGAGCTTGAAAGCGACGCCACTCACTTTAGACTGTCTTGAAGCACGCGCCAAGAATGAATCTGAGGCAGAAAAGGTTTTGATTGAACGGCGCCAGATGTTGCAGACCTTTACAAGACGTTATGTACAAAAAGGGCATGACAATGGCATGGCTGCCAACAGGGAACGCGAGGTCTGGAGTCGCAGACGGCTTTACAAAGCTGAGTTGACGGGCCGGCTTCTGTGGGCAATCCATTTGCACAGGCAGTCAATGCTGAGCTCTGAGGTGTTGGACCATATCCTCACTTTCCTGTACGAGCCGATGAGACCAGTGGTGAACTGCGTCGGCTTACTGGCAGACGACGGAAGGTCCATGATTTCAAGCACTCAGGACACAGTCGCTAGCTGGGGAGTCTTGTCTTCACTCTCGTCGCTTTCGTCTGTCGCTGCCCTTCGCAAGGCATTGAAGGCACGACAGTGGTTCGCTTTTGAGCGGCATCCGCGCAAGACCACGTCGGAAGCCGCCGAAACTGAGCAGGCAAGCGGTGGCGACGGCAACTCGCTTGTGCTGTCTCCACTGCTGTTCATGAAGTACTTCTGGGTTTGGAAGACTTAATAAAGATATTCGTATTGCCTCCAGTGGAACTGCACGATCATGCACTCCAAAGCGCTATGCTCTATTTACTCAGGCCTCTACATGCAATTTCTGCACGACTGGGTCTTGGTCTCGGGCTGTACTGAAGTGATAACCCTCTACGCCTTAAATCCTAAGATAGTAAGCGGCTGTACTGAAGTGATAACCCTCTACGCCTTAAATCCTAAGATAGTAAGCAAGATCCAGTCTGAGCATCTACCCTAGGAAGAAGACTAGAGGGCTTTAGTTCTACAGCCGGAAGATCTCCGCCCTTCACTTCCTGGACCTGGAGACAATGTGCTCTTTCAACGCGGCCAAAATCAGAGGTTAGGGTTTAGGTTTAGGGGTTTAGGGTGTCGGGTCACCCTAAACTAAACTCTGAGCCCTGAATGGCCCTAAACCCAAACAAGACCCTAAACCTTTGGCCGTAAGCCCTAAACCCTCTGAACCGAGGGTTTAGGCCATTCCAGGCCTGCGGTGTTGTTCGGATACCTCGGCCGCACACTCCACCAGGCAGGCCTTGGGGACGTTTTACAGTTACTATCAAGCAGCCTAAGAGGATCTCACGAACATTTGTCAAAGGCTTTCAAGAAAGGACGAATTAAGACCCTGAAAGGGTAAAAGGTTCTTATACCATAGACGAGGGATGCATGGTTTAAGGGTATAGGTTTCAGGGTTTAGGGTCTTGCAGGCTGGATGCACAAAAAAGGTATAGGGTCTCTACTTATAAGGGTTAGTCGGTCCCCAAGGTAGTCCAACATCCTCGACCCCAACAAGCACCCTTAAGGAGCCATCCATCATCCTCTCCATGAAGGTTCGGGTTTCATATGGTTTAACCACATATCCATCAGGCTGTCTATCTATCGATCTATCTTCCTCCCCACCCATCTTGTTCTTGTTGTTGTTTTTCTCTATCTCTCTATTGATCTGTCTATTTGTTTTTCTAGCTATCTGGCTATCCAGCTATCTATCTGCCTATCTGTCTATCTATCTATGTATCTATCTGAAATACCTATCTATATACCTATCTATTTATCTATCTGTTTGTCTGTCTCTCCGTCTATCTGTCTGTCTATGTATCTATCTGTCTATCTCTCTCTCTCTCTCTTTCTCTGTCTGTCTGCCTGGCTGGCTGTCTGATTGGGTAGTGTCGCATACATGCATACCTACATGCATGCATAGATACATACTGGTACCTGCATGTTTACATACTACAGGTGCAGGCAGGCAGACAGACAGACAGACAGACAGAGAGACACTGACATACATGCATCTTTTCTCACTTACGCGCCTGCATGCGTACATAAGAACCTGAATACAATGAATACTATATATATATATATATATACATATGCTACCCCCCCATGTACCTACTTATTTGGTGTGTTTATACCACTGGCGTGTGTCTGCAGAACTTCATGTGCGTAGGAGCTGGCAACAGCCGCTTAGCCTGTTTCCTTGCACCGTTCGCAGAATGTCCATGCCTGACACATTCCCTGCAGTTTCGCTGTCAAACAGTAATGGCGAGACATCTGCTATTGCTTCTGTTTCAGCTAATGCCTTTTACAGTTAATTAATATGTGTTAATGGCATGGTTCGCGCCACACAGCATGTAGTATCTTAGTCGTAGGAAGAACTCAGCACTATATAGTAAAGAAGTATATTGCTTGAGGTTTATGCGAGCATGAAATGTTAAACGAATACCAATCTGAAACTTTTTTTGTGAAAGCAACCCTAAACTTTCCTAAACCCTAAACCCCAAACCGTGGTTGGTCAGCCGCAGAATTCACTGAGCATCGGTTGGCTATTATGTGGGAGACCACGAGTGCAGAGAGGTGCGGAGGGTCCCAATGTTTTGGTTGAAAACTCTTAGGGTTTGGGTTTAGGGTTTTCGACCTCTTTGAGCGCAGAAGTGTGGAGAGGTCCCAATGTTTTGGGGATGTCGCGGCCCAATAGCATTGGGACTTCTCATGTTTTTGAGAGTCTAGGAGCCTATGTGAAACATTGGAAGGTCCCAATAAAACCAATGTTTTGGAGTCTCCAGGCCCGCAAAGACTTAGAGATTAGAGACCGCACGCAGCGCATTATTGTTTAGAGCATTAAATATTAATTACTTTGGAGACCCGCTGTCCTGAAGCAAGTCTGACAACAACACGGTGGGGCTTCTGATGGATGAGCTTTGGGTATTGCACCGTTGTCTGACACATGTCCAAATACCAACTTTAAGATAGAGTCGGCGATATCACAAGGGATATTCTTCCAGATAGCGACATCAAACGAAGACATGGCACTCGTGAACGTTAGACAGACCAATGCTTTGAGCTCCAACTCCCACGAATACGAAACCGCATACATGAGTCTATTGGTGTTTAACTGTTTCCAGCTGAATGCATGTGCATATGAGTATGCTGTGGTGTGTGCTATATACAATGTGTACGGCTTCGCGTGCATCATGTCTATTGGTTTTTGCAATGTTTACGACTTTATGCGCATCGCTTTTATTTTCGAATGTTTGTGGATTCGTTTGCACTGTTTCATTGGCCTTCCAAAGTTTTGAATTCGGTGTGTGTCGTTTTGATTGTTTGTTCCAATTTTTCCGTGTTTCAGAGACCGAAAACATTGGAAAACCGATCAAAACCATAAAAACCATCCCGAAGCCCTAAACCGATTATCAAACTATCGCCTGGGCTTGGTGTCGCGCCTGGAGATAGTTTGAAAACCTGTGGTCTTTATGGTGTTTGTTTGTGTTTCGTTCGGCTCTGTGTGCACCGTTTTATGGTGTTTCCAATGTTTTGGGCTCTGTGTGCACCGTGGTTTGTTTCCCATGTTTTTGGGCTCTGTGTGTTCCATTTTTTTATTGTTTTTGTCAATGTTTTGGGCTGTGTGTGTGCGCCGCTTTTATTGTTTCTACAATCTTTCGGACGAGTGACAAGTAGGACGGACTGTTCGGAGCACATGTGCAAACTAGCCCCCTGGATGACGCAGTGCCGAATCCATGTGCTGAGCTCCGTACCTGAACAGGAAACACAGGAAAAGCGTATTCACATGGGGGGTGCCATGTAGAGAGAGAGAGAGAGAGAATGCATATTTTCCACATCACACAGAAACCCATCAGGTCGTGACATGGTTCCTTGGTTTCGCCCGATACTTCAGGCTATACAGCATTGAATCAGCACTTCCCACGCACATGACTGTCTCCAGAGAACAGCAATGGGAAACCTAACCCTAAACCCTAAACCCCAGACGTGTCGCTTGCCGACGTTTCCTGGCGTGGTATGGCTCAGGGCCTCGGGCGTGGCTCTTGGATGAGAGTTCAGTTAGCTTAGGGTTTAGGGTTCAGGGTAAGCAGATTGTTGCCAGCTGGTGGAGGGGTTGCTCCGCAAAAGTGCTGCCATCGATAAGATGGAGCGGTTGCTGCTCTTGCGACCATCCTGCAGTGAAGCTGTGAGGCACCAAGCCCGGCTGGAGATGGTTTTCCTTATTACGCCATGGCTTGCTTCGATGGGCTTCATAATTTCTCGGTTCGATGACGATGCAGCGGGTCGTTTTGACTACTTGGCCGTTGTTCACCTTGGCGGCGCCATCGTTTTAATCACCGTCGGTATGATCTTGTACAAGATGAACTGCCTGCCGTCTGCAGCCCATTATTTGGAGGATCCCAGCTGCAGCAATGCTCTCTGCGGATTGTTCAGCTGGCTTCCAATGGTTGCGATTTGTCCCACCTTGGTGACTGGTGGTGCGCAGGAGATTGCCGTCACTTTTGGGGATTGTTTCGGTGCTATTTTACTGTATGTGCCCTTGGTGGAGGAACCGTTGTCACTTATGGCCGCTTATATTGCCTACGCAAACATTGCATGGGCGAGAATTCTGCATCTGTGCATGTCACAGGTGGACACCTACATCAGTCTCACACCGTACATTTGCCGACTGGTGGCTGTTTTAGTCTTCACTGCCATCGCCTTTCAGATCAGGTTGCGCTACTTGAGCTTGAAAGCGACGCCACTCACTCCGGACTGTCTTGAAGCACGTGCCAGGACTCAATCTGAGGCGGAAAAGGTTGTGCTTGAACAGCGCCAGATGCTGAAAAGCTTTCAGACTAGACGTCAAGCCGGGGATGACAATGGCATGGCTGCCGACAGGGCGCGTGAGGTCTGGAGTCGCAGACGGCTTTACAAAGCTGAGTTGATGGGCCGGCTTCTGTGGGCAATCCATTTGCACAGGCAGTCAATGCTGAGCTCTGAGGTGTTGGACCATATCCTCACTTTCCTGTACGAGCCGATGAGACCAGTGGTGAACTGCGTCGGCTTACTGGCAGACGACGGAAGGTCCATGATTTCAAGCACTCAGGACACAGTCGCTAGCTCTGGAGTCTTGACCTCACTCTCATCGCTCTCGTCTGTCGCTGCCTTACGCAAGGCGTTGTCGGCACGACAGTGGATCGCTTTTGAGCGGCATCCGCGCAAGACCACGTCGGAAGCCGCCGAAGTTGAGCAGGCAGCCAGTGGCAAGGGCAAGGCATTTATGCAGGCTTTGGGTCGTCTGAGTGGTCTCTGTTTCTTACGCGCTGTGCCTGAATCGGGCTTTAAACTCTAAACCCAATGTGTCTCACCGTCGATCGCCAACTAGGCTGCAGGGCAGACATACGAGGATTGGGAGCTTTGTTAATTAATCGTAATTATAATAACACGAGCATTACTAGTAATAGTTATAGTAGTAGTTTCACGAGGTTCCATACACCCCGCACCCCTTCAATCCTAAGCCGAAGCTTCAAGCTGCGGCCCCCCCAAAAAAGGTAACCTTTCAGGGTCCACGTGCCCAAAATATATGAGAAATAGTATAGTATAGACTCAGTATAGACTTTCGCCCAAAGTGGCTATATAGGAAGTACCTTAAGGCCCTTCTTTGGGGTACTAGACCTCATGTAATCGTATTCCCCTATAACCCCTACTAGAGTCAAGGGGAGTTCTAGTATGCTTTACACAAAAACCCTGCTCCAATTAATGCCTTTTAATTGCGAAGAGCCTCGGGAGCCCGATGATCATGTATTTTCTGGTCGGAAGAGCCTGCGTATCCCTCTGAACCTTGGGTACTCGTTCTGGAACCCTAAGCCCAAAAACGCCCTGCCCTAACCCTAAACTCCCGAAGCCTACACAACCCTAAACCTAAGTTTATTTGCTGGCCTTTGTAAGTTTCCCCGGCGAACCCAATACTAATACTGCATCCCTGAGTCAAGGAAGACACCTTCACTTAGAGAGGCCTTGATAGTATCATCTATAATGCACGATTATCGGGCCTTCTGTGTTCTTTACAAGATAAGACTTGAGAAACAGAGTCCGTACGAACAGGTTTGAGAGCCCACTGGTCCAGCGCAGTTCTTATCGGCCCCTATATATAGTATTGCATACGGACCCAGACCCTATTCCGACGTTCTGGATGCGTCGGGAAGGGTCTGCAGCTCAAACATCCCGGTCTTCGCTGCCTTGAACCGAGAATTTGCAAAAAGCATACGTTTGCTGCGCCATGCGAGGCCGAGCAAAATCGAGCTGTCACAAGCATGGACTGAGGTCGCCTTCTCCGCTCTCCTTCTAGAGCTGAAGCCCTGAATCACCTCAGAAACCTACTTGTTTTCTCCGTTTCTAGAAGCTGTCAAAGGAAGGCAGTTCAAAGGAGTTAGGCCCCTATATCAACCTTATCACCTGTTCGGGATGTTGTCGCAAGACTTCTCTTGGACTGATCGAGAGAGGGCATCCGCCTCTTTGCTTACCCGGATGTGATACGGGGGCTTGAGTAATTAGCATGGGGTTTAAGTAGGGATACACTATAGTGTAAGTATATGTAGTAGGCAAGACGGGGGAACATCAACTAGGGTGTTCTACCGTTAGAAGCTACATACTTCTGGAGTGTTCCCAAAGTAAAGCAAAGGTTTAGGAATTTTCCTATACAGCCCCCCCGGATCCAGGAAGCATGCCAACAAGCAGGGTTTTAGACACGTTCATAACATAATGTAGAAGCCTAGTACACACTATCTGTCCTTACGGTTCCTTGCGATAACAAAGCTTTTACATACCACCGAATCCCAAAGCTCCTAAACCCTATGTAATCCCTAAACCCCGAAATGCATAAACCCCTAAACCCTAAATTCTAAACCCCTAAACCCTAAACCCTAAACCCTAAACCCTAAACCCCTAAACCCCAAACCCTCTCCTTCTCTGAGCTGAAAAGTGTTCTCGCTGTCGGGAGAGGCAGGGTTTCGGGCTCTCTAGCCGTGTATTCTTGGAACATACAGTAGAAGCCAGAAAGTTGGAACATCATTATCCTAATGCCCTCAAGGTAATATATGAGAGATCCTAGCACTAATCCTCCTAAACCTGTGTTCCAACTTTCTGGGATTCGCTATAGGTATATAAGTCTACAGTCATATGTGTACATGCGTGTTAATTTGTGTGTGTGTGTATTAGAAACTGTATTCTAATTCTCTTTGGATGCATATATCTTATTTTATGTGTGGGTATACTTCCATATATTCATACACATCTGTGTTTGTGTGTATAGATTCATATGTACACTGCGCAATTGTATTGACACGCTTGTGTCTTTGTGTCTGCTTATAATTGGAACATGGGGTTTGGGGTTGGAGCAGATACTCAACATAGTCCATGGGTTCATGATCCATCTCCCAAGAGCATCTTGCAGGCACCTACAACCTACCCATAGGCCCCATAGTAGTTCCTTTTGGGGACTTAATAGGATCCTAAATATATGCCACAAAAGGAACTACTATGGGGCCGATCGGTAGAAATTTTGGGGACAAACCCTAAACTCGACCCGACATGATCCACCCCGAGCCTGCAACCTTGGGCTCTACTTGGAGGGTCGGGAGACNNTAGTACTTATAAGTCTATAAAAATAACCATTTACTAAGTCCCCGAACCCTCCAAGTAGTAACCTTTGGAGCCCGAAACCCGACAGCATCCCAGGAAAGTCAACGGCTCGCTGTCTTACTACCGCGATGACGGGGTGGAAGAGTTGGACGACAGTCGCTGGATCACGGAGGTTTGCCTTTGGACACTTTGGCAGAGAAGATGATGGCTTGCGGGGGGCGGGGTATGGCTCAGGGTTTAGAGTCTACGGCTTAGCACTTTCGAGTGCACGGCCTTAGCGTTTCTAGGCGTGGATTGAAAGCCGAAATCGGCGTGGAAGACAGTCGGGATCGGACTGAACCATAAGATACCCAATAAGTAAGCCTTAAGAAAATACGATGTGCCAACAGCCTCGCTGCCTCCTGTCAGGTTAGGGGGGGGGGCTTTGAGCTCAAAGGAGTTCTGTTACCGCAGCTAGGCATCTGTCATAGGGTTTAGTGTCCAGGGTAGGCGTTTCACCACATGATCACTTGTGTGAGCTCCCGAACATTCTGCGATCATCATCCACGTGAATTCCTTGCTGTAGCACCAGGTTTGGGCCCAACATAGGGAGCCTTATAATAATAATTACCTATACTATTTTGGGAGTTCCTTACTATAATTATAGTAGAATATATTATAGTATACCCCAAAACCCTATTCTAATTATGAAGGCCCGTACATTAGACAGAGTGTAGAGCTGAGGGTTTTGAGGCTCAGAGTACAGATATGACGATGCTGTGAACATGCGAGAAGCCAACCTCTGACTCCCAAACTCCGAACAGAAACGCCAGGGATAGGGACAGCTCGATATATGTAGGCGAGCCTACATCACAACGTGAGTGAGAGAGAAGCGCCAGATCGGCTAAGGAATGGTAGGGGGAAGAGAGGGGAAGAGGTCCGTAAACCCTAAACCCCAAAAGGTCCCTCAACCATACAGTGCCGGTGTGTCTCTATCCTTTGCCAAGGACACCTTGGGTATACATGGGAGATCTTGAAGCGAACACTGTGTCGGACATGCGCCACGGCAACCAGGGAGTCGTTTCGTTGCAACCTTGATTCTAAGGTAGAACCCATGGGCCCCTAGTATGGGCCCTTAACCCTGGGACCCTAATATACCTACTATATACCCTATATATACCCGTAAGGGACCCTAGAATCCCCTAAGGGCCCATGTTAGGGGCCCATGGGTTCAACCTTAGATTGATACCACCCCCCGTGAGGCCGCGTAGCCTTGCTCTCATGGGACCATCTTTGGCAAGCTCTTCAGCCTCAACCGCCCTGTACACCCTGACTAAACAGAAACGACTGAGTATGCCCCATAAGCAATGCCAACTATTAAACCCTAAACCAACGTAAACCACATTGCAAGTCAGGTCGCTCTGGTAGAACAACAAAGCTTCTTGAAACTTACCCCTCCCGCAGCCCGGCGACCTCAATTTGCAAGTTCTGAGTTCTGCCGAGTTTCAGGGTTAAGGGTTCAGGATTATACATGGAGTTTTTGGGGATTGAGTTTGTGTATAAGAATACAGAGGGTATAGGATTATTTAGTGTATTTGGGGATGGAGTTTCTATAGGGATAGGGTATACGGTTTCGTTACGGATCGACTGTGTGAGCCCTTGCACCTTGGGGCTACCAGAAACACCCAGTACTCACGCAACCTAAACCATCACACCTAAGGAGTTCATGTTGCTGCGAGGACCCCTCGCCAATCTCAGGAATTTCCTCAGCTTTCTGTAGTCTGGAGGGTAAGTCGAGTATACGCTTTCGAAAACATAAGGGAGTTTCCGAAAATAAGGGGTACCTGTTTGGGGTCCTTATAATAAGGATCCTATTATTAAGGGTACTATCTTAGGGTCCCCTATTTTCGGGAACCCCCATAACATCCTGAACGGTAGGAATCCCGAAAGATTTTCGGCCCTGCCTGGACCCGACAAAACCAACTTTTTCGGGCTCTTATTATGATTCCTTCTAGAAGTCCTGAAGGGGTTGATTCTGGGTTGTCGGGTGCTAGGCCCGCGAATGAACAGATAGCTGCCTGTTCGGTTTTCGCCAAAGAGCTACATAGGAATTTCACAATTTCGCTTTCAGCTCAAAATAGATCACATCAACAGTTCCTCCCAGGTTGTGTTTGGATGCAGCCACCTTTTGCCAGATGCTGAACCAGACTTATGCCACGCAGCGGGCGGCGAGCATCTATGCGAAGCGCTTCCTGGAAGCGTGGCCGCTTTAGCGGGCCTCGTGTTGCACAAATCGGTACCACTCAGGACTTAAAGCGCTTCAAACCGTCGAGCCGCATTGCAGGGCCTAAAACCCTAAAGCCTGAACTGAGTCGAACCACATAACGCGGCGTGCCCCAAGCTCAACACCCTTCAGCCCCTGAGTGTAAACTCTTGGAAATCGTTATCTCTATGCCCGCGCATGTCAAACGTTCAAAGTGAGCGCCAAGATGCACCAATCTACCCATAGACCCCATAGTAGTTCCTTTTCGGGGTTACCTAATGGGATCCTAAATATAAGCCACAAAAAAGGAACTACTATGGGGCCTATGGGTAGAACTCACACCCCGACAGCTGAATTCCTCGGTTCTACATTTACAACTTCCACTCCTTCAGCCTGGACTCTGAACCCCCGGCCCCTCCCACTAAACTCGTAAACCATCCATCCATCCCTCCGCTCATTCATCCATAAGTCTCAACTTCAGGTACCTACCCAGGGGCTCCAATGTAGTTCCTTTTTGGGTTTGTTATGGTTTTTTGGTAGGGAATTATACTATACTATCCAAAAAGGAACTACATAGGTGCCCTTGGGTAGACCCTAAACCTCCAAATCCCTAACACTGTAATCTCTCATAACCAATACTATATGAACTCTATGGGTAGTTCTCCCAATAAGCGCGCCTCTTTGGGGCAGAATAGTACAGCACCTCGATTATGAAAAGGACCCTAACAGGGACCCTAATTTAGAGGTCTGTTTCATCTGAAGCGAACATATGACGGCAATGCTCATCTAGGAGTGCGTGACTTTGGAAAGCTTATCTACATCCAGTCAACGGGGTTTTAATTTTTGGGGCTTATAGGGTTATGGGACGGTTCCGGCTTCCCTGGCGCTGAAACTGAGAACGTTCTCAAAAAGCAGCACGTGTTGACGGACGTCTTCGTCGACCGCGATCATGACTCCTCGGCCATGGAAGAAAGCCGTTGGTTCGGGTTTTAACTTTGTGGGGCTTCCGCCATCCTGGGCTTGGTTCCAAGAATGCTGCGCGAACCTACCTGAACTAGTAGCACTGCTCCATATGGTAGTTCTCTAAGTTAGCGTCCCTTTTTAGGTCCCCAATATAGGACGGCACCCTCATAAAAAAGGATCCTAGAAGGGAGCTTTTGCGAGACCAGGCGCGAGTTCAATATGGGATCTCGCAAGCTTAAACATAATCGGGGGGGTTGAAGGAACGGGAATCCATAGACACCTCAGGACACGTCACGAAGGGAACAAGCATAGGATCCAAGCGTTAGCTAGGGGCTTGAGGCTCTGATTTGGGTGCTTGGTGATTGTTTTCGTGTGGTTTTAGACTTCAGCATGATGAGGCTTATAGGCTTATACTTTAGGATGCCACTAGCTTGGGGCAGAACCTAGACCTAACACGTCGTAGTGGCCAGCCTGCAAAGAAAAGCATCACCCAAGAGCAAAATGAAGAACTGCATCACCTTGTAATACAAAACCCACGACATGCAGGACCTATGCTCCATGGTGTCGGAAGAAGATCAACCTTTGGCAGAACTTCCCCTGATGAAGTCCGCATGGCGACGCGGCCGCATACTTGGGCTGACGGTTGGAGGGGCGTTGGCGGCTTTGTGGGCTTTACCCCTAGGCCCCATAGTAGTTCCTTTTTGTGGCTTATATTTAGGATCCTTTAGGTAGTCCCAAACAGGAGCTACTATGGGGCCTATGGGTAATGGTCACCCAAGTCTTCGAAACCCACGCAGCTCTGCATACAAGACTGGCTTCGAAGGCTTCTATTGATCAAGAGAGTGATGCAGGCGGTTCATCAATGAGCGTTCTTCCTATGGGCAGTTATGGCGATCGCACCTTCACGATAAATTCTTCTCAAGCCTATAATACCCACTCCCAAACACATAAGCGTCAAGACTCTCTGTCTCTCTCTCTGTCTATATATATATATATATACACATACTGATGCACACGTGTATACCTCTATAAATGAACATATATATATATATATAACATACATATATATATATATATACACACTATATACATATATAGTATGTCCATACATAGATTTAAGTAGAGTAGGTACAACACGCATATGTACATTCATTCAGTCATTCATTCATTCATTCATTCATTCATTCATTCATTCATCCATTTATTCATTAATTCATTTATTCATTCATTCATTCATTCATTCATTCATTCATTCATTCATTCACTCGCAGGGTAGGTAGACAGATGCATGCATGCATACATACATGCATATATAAACCGTACCAAGATGCCAAGCAAACTCTAGTTGGCGTAGGCTTCATGCATTTAATGAATCTCGCGGAAAACAAAGCAAATTAAACCACATACGCTTAGGCTTTGGGGCTTACACGGGTTATGGGGTCAGAGCATACTACCGCAAGCCGAGCAATCTGTTCGACATCGACGGGGCAGCAAGCGTTCTGCAGCAATCGCGGTTTAACTGGAGCCCGTCACCCTGAAGCTAAATCGAAACCCCCAGACCCACAACTCAGCTCCCTTCAGCATCCGTGGACTTGGCACACCGATTCCAGCCGGCGTTGTAAAGAGCATCACTATGGAGGTCGGAATGATTAGTAATACCCTATGAAAGGCCGCAATGTTGGTTGGTCATTCCTTTGACACCCTTCTCACGTGACCTACTGGCCATACCCCCTGCGGATAGCTATAGCCGACCCGCTGCTTCCCCATAGTTTTCTGGCCGGTTTTGTGGGCTGGGGTTTTGGCTTGCCTATTCCTTTGAATGTTGTATACAGTGTATACCATGGCCTCAGCATGTATCATCCTTGCTTTGTTGTACCTTCGACGCCTAAACATGTTTGGTTGTCTTGTCGGACTGATGCTGACGTTGGCCTAAACCCCAAAGCCCTAAATCGCGGAAGCCCCAGCAACCCAAAACCAAAACCGCAACCCCTGAACCCAAAAATCCAAAGCCGGATATGCTCTCAGGCTTTAGGCGCAAGGCCTTAATGTAAAAATGCAACTGCGCTGAGGAATTGGATCTGCGACTCGGCTGAGAAGCAAGAGCTTAAAACAGCAGGTGGGGTGAAGATCGGTACTATAGAAACCTCAATAACTTCACAGTACCCCAAAGCCCTCTTAAACTTACCAAGGCCCGCTTCTTAGGATTAAGACTCATTAAACCTCCCGTTTCTCAGGGGGTTGTTGGACTTTGGAGCCTTTTGAGAATCAGAACTCCGAAGGCCCAGGTTGTTGTATTCATTCTTTTGGGTTTAGGGTTTAGGGTTTAGGGTTTAGGGTCCTCTGCCAGCTTGCGAACAAGCACAGTGACACGTTGCCACCATCATCATTCAGCGCATGCGAGCAGCAATGGTGAGGTGAGGTCAGCTGAGGGCAGTTCATTGAAGGGGCAGTGCTTTAGACATTGCCTTTTCCCTGTTCTTTATCATCGCAGGTCTTTACTCATTCTACACAGTTCTTGCAGAGTCATTCTTTGTCTGTCGCGGCTTCTGATGCTTTCTCGCTGCTGCTATGACACAGGGTGGCACGGATGCTCACACCTTTTTGATTCTGCAGCCGTCTAGTAGCCATATAAATCTCGACGGGGAGGCAACTTAAACCCAAACCTTAACTATCGGAATCGTCACACCATCGACAAGATCGCCATTTGAACGAAAACATTCCGTAGATCAGCAGCACTATCAAAAACAGCTTCCTCAAGCTTCTCTGAATACCTAAACCCTAAACCCTAAACCCTAAACCCAATTAAAGGAACCCCTTTAAAGGAGCCCCTTATAAAGCCCCAAGAACTGAGCTGCCAGGCCCGCGAGTCAGATCCGGGGCAAAGAGGCGACGCTCGAGCTTGGACGTCAGCCAGCTGAAGCAGGCGGACAGGGTTTAGGGTTTAGGGTTTAGGGTTCAGGGTTTAGGGTTTAGGGTTTAGGTATAAGTATAAGGGTTCTATGGGGTTTGTAGGTTCCCTGTTAAGGGAACGACTAGAGGGTACCCAAAGGCTCCATGTACCTTTATAGTCGATACGAAAGCCAAAAAGTAGCTATATAGGGACTCCTTTAAGGCCGAAGTATCTACTATATGGGCACATGGAGCCTACCCAAAGGCTCCATGTACCTTTGTAGTCGATACTTGGGCCTCAAAGGGGTTCCTATGTAGGTACTTTTGGCCTAAGTATCTACTATATTGGTACATGGTGCCTTTGGGCTAGGTATAAGGGTTCTATAGGGTTTGTAGGTTCCCTGTTAAGGGTAACGACTAGAGGACTCTATCATCGGGGTTACGGTTTAGGGGTTCCCCGTAAGGGTTCTAAAGTAGGGTCCGCCTTACAGGGCTTAGAGCCTTAGAGTTTAAGGTCTACTTAGGGGTAGGAGTTGCCTTGGGTACTGTGGGGTTTTATCATAGGGTTCCCTGTAAAGGAGGTCTATAGGGTTTATAATAGGGTAAGGGATCTATCAGGGTTCCTTGAAAGTAGGTGGGCAGCCGAGGGTAGTAGGGTCCGCCTTACAGGGTTTAGGGACAGCCGAAGGGTTCCTTAAGGGTACTACAGGTTCCATAGTCGGGTTTAGGGATTAGGATTCCCTGCAACCGTACTATAGCGTTCTATCATCCGGTTTAGGGTTCCCCTTAAGGGTACTATAACGTTATAGAATCCGGTTTAGGGTTTAGTTTAGGGTTCCCTTTAAGGGCACTGTATATTAGCTCTATGATAGGATTCCCTTTACCGGGGGGGAAGGTTTAGGGTTTAGTGGAAGGGATCCATAAGGGTTCCGGTAAAGCAGGTGGGCGGCTTAGAGCTGTCGTTCTCAATTTGTTGTTATGGGCTTTCTGGCTTAGAGCTTTTAGGCTTTGGGGTCTACGGTTTTCGGATTCGGGTTTAGGGTTTAGGGATCCTCTAAAGGGATCCATGCGGGTTCCATTAACGGGATCCATCTGGCATAATCATATGGGTTTCTTTACAGGGGTGCTATAGCTTAAGGTTTCTCGGGCTTGGGTTTG